TTGTAATATGCAAGAAATTATACAAGAAAGTCAGATTGCTANTTATATAAAAATTCATAAAAGTTGTATGTTTACTTCTAGAACATATATGCTAAATTTTGTTAAATTTTAGCAAAATAATAACAACTTAGAAAAAATATGACTTTATTCAGAACAGAAATTGTCTTTTGAATAAAAAAGATCTTCACATTGTGATTTTATTAATATGAAATCTAAATTTTATATATATAAAGAAAAAGTTTGTACTTTACATGTTTGAAGTCAGTACAAATAAATGCAATAAAATTTAAAAAAAAAATTATCATTCATTCAAGAAAGTTAACAATTAATCAATATTTTTTCGGACAAAAAGTAGCCTATTTGTCTACAACAGGAAGCCCTATATATTTGACCAAATGTATCTGAAATTATGATATTCTCTAGTGTTAGAGCACTACTGAATATCAAACTGTGAGCTACTACAGGACATGAACAGTACTAGAGATTTTTGAAGGTTATTCTGCATTATTACATTTTTAATTGTAATATCTAAATCAAGTTTTCAAATTGATACCTAGCTTTTGTAATGTTGCATGAAGAGTTCACTTTTCATATATGCTCTTCATTTTCATATATCATCATTTTCATATATGCTCTTCAATGACATTCTCAGTTAGGCATGTTGTTGTATGCAATGAATAATTACAAGTTAGTTGAAGATTAAACATTATAAGGAAAGCTTATTTTTGTCAAAAAACTGAGTTTTCTGATAATTGGGTATGAAATGGAAATTTCTTTAGACAGACCAACTATTAGGGTGGATCAAATGAAAACAGAACAGTAGCCAGCCACAACAGTAGCCATTATTTATTTTCAAATGTAATCACCAAAATTACACAAGCACTTGTCCCACTGTTGCACCAAGTAGTGAATACCTCATTCATAGAAAGAGTTTGGTTGAGATGGACACTGTTCGAAACTGGTTTCAATGACTTTGCTGTCTGATTGAAAACGTCAACCCCACAATGCTTATTTTAGCGGACCAAAGATGTGAAAGTCACATGGTGAAAGGTCGGGGCTGTATGGTGGGTGTTCCAACACACTCCATCGAAACTTCACAAGCATGCTCAGTGTGTGAGTGGCCATATGTGGCTGTGCATTGTTGTGGAGCAAAAGCACTCCAGAGGACAATGAAAACAGTGTACGGAGAACACTGTTTTCATTGTCCTCTGCACTTCACAAATTCCAACACCCTCTGCTGCTAAAAAATCAATAACACCACGTTGCTCTTCTTTAGTCGCAAACGTGATGCAGACTGATTGCCTGCCAGATGACACTCCTGGCCGACCACCAGCTCATACCGTGTGTTTGTGCATGCTTACCAAGAGAGAGTCCATTCCTCAATAGGGTTTCTCCTCTTTCACCTCTTGCTCTACATCTACACACAGTTTTGTTACTCACATACACATACACCGAATTATGATCACTGTTCCATTTTCATTTGATCCACCCTTATACAAGATAACTTGATCACCTCTGATAAAACAATGCAAGTAATTAAAATAATAGAATGTTTGGCATAAATTTATCAGATTAAATGTTTAAAATATGCACTTTTCTATCAAGTACAGTAACAGGTTTAATCATAAAAGATTGAAATTTAGAGAAAAATCATTAGATACAGTCGACCCCCCCCAATTGGTCGATTTAAAATTTAAATGCATGAGATAAAGCAATAAAAAAAATAATGGGTGGACCATCAAAAATTTGGCAATTTACAACATAATGTCGAATGCACAAATTCGTTTATTTATAACTAAAAATATTCTCGAAATTTCGTTTAAAAAACTGCATTTGTGACAATACCTGAATGAAATTCTTACGCAAGAAACAAAAATTGTACAATTAACACAAATTGTACAGTTTTTGTTTCTTGTGTAAGAATTTCATTCAGGTATTGTCACAAATGCATTTTTAATGATAATTATCATTATCATCATGTCAGCGAAGTGGCAATAAAATATTTACTACCATTTTGCACAACATACCTCTGCGAGAACTGATTTTCGGCCATGACAAACATGAAAACTAAACATCGTCACCAACTTCAACTCGAATGTGACTTGAGACTGAAGCTAACCAAAAAACAACCAGATTTTACAAAGTTGTGCAAAGAAATTTGTGCACATTTGTCACATTAAAATTAAATAACCTTGTGTTATTTTCATTATTATTAGAATTGTATTTTGAAGGTAATAAATGTAAAAAACTTATTATATTTATCACTAGCTGTCTATCTACAGCTTCGCCCGCATTATATTGAATTTTCTCGTGGGAGTAAGATATTTTCTTGAAATAAAATGTAGCCTATGTCCATCTCCGACATGTAAGCTATCTATGTGCCAAATTTTAAAACCTGTTCAGTGGTTGAGACGTGAAAAGGTGACAGACAGACAGAATTACCTTTTGAATTTATAATATTAGTATGGATTAATATGAATTTCTGCTATAAGGGGTAAGTGAGTTTGAGCTCTTTCTTGAAGTGGTACATAGGAAAAACTAATTGGGAACCACTGATCTATACTAATATTATAAAGAGGTATAGTTTGTTAGTTTGGACATAGGAGGTTATCTCCAAAACTACTCATCCAATTTCAAAAACTCTTTCACCAATATTTAGAATGGACCTTCAGGGAATATTCACAGAATCCAAAAATACTAGCCAATCGAACAACTTGTCTTTCCTTTAAGAATTTTCTAAATTTTTATTAAAATAATAGAATTTCAAACTCTAATGTTTTGTAAGCTACTGGCCTAACTGCACTTTTAAGCCAAAGCATGTTGTTTAATTAACTTAATATATATCCTGAAAATGATCTAATGATTTACACTTATAATATTTTAATGACTTTACCTTTTGAAAACTTCATATTTTAAAAGTAATTATTGNATGTAATCAAAAAATTTTTGTAAAATACATCTATGCTGTACCATTATATGTCAAGTAAGCAATTTTATGTTATCATCACCTCGCGTTTTTAGTTATGTTCCTACTAACCAATACCGTAAAACTAACCTTAAATTAAATTTTTTTGTGTAACCTTAACAGCACTGAAGAGGGGTTGGGCATTTAAGCCAACCCGAAATGCATATGAATAAGGAATTTTTTAAATAAAAAGTACGTTTTCTAACCAATTGCTGTCCGTTCGTCTACCAACTCGTTTTGGATTACACAGACACTACACACTGCATTCAAGATACAGCAACCACGTCCTCTACATTAATAATTATACGAGTTTTTTACCTTTTTTTACGGATACCGTCACAATTTTTTCGCAGTTTTATAGGAATCGTAATTATAGGGACCGTAATTATAGGGGGGTCGACTGTACTTGATTGGAGATAAAATGTCAAACACTGCAAAGAGAACACTGAAGATGAATTTTATTATTTAGAGGTTATACCATTCATTGAAAAATAGAAAGCTAAATCTGATAGTCATGTTAATTTAAGTGTGTTCATAAAATAAAAATGCCAAAATAGATTAATTCTTTGTTTGGAGAATATTTTCAATAAAGCATCAATAAACAAATCATTTTATGAATTTTAAATAATGGTTTTAATTTGTTTAATGGTTTAATTCAGATCTTGCATATCTCATATGTAAGATCTGAATTTGAATCTAAGTAATTCATCTATATTGTAAAAATACTATAGATTAGATTAAAAATTTCAGAGTTTTTATTCTAATTAAATTTATAAAATTAAATATTATTTAATCAAATTTTTAATTATACATTACTTTGTAACTTGTAAACTTAATGCTTCATTTAGGTCTATGAAAATAATTTACCAAAATTTATATAGGCCTTGTATCTTATTTGCAATTTACATTGCAAAGTTTAATGTTAAGGATATTACTATCTTTTAATAAAATCATTATTGTATAGATTGGATTAGTTTTCTTGCAAAAATTAATTTTCCCTCATACATTAACAATCTCTTCAAGAGTATTAATTCTAAAGTTATAGCTTATGCCAACAATATAAAACTCCTGAATCATGACCCCAACATTTTACAAACTGACCTTAAAATTCTATCTTTAGCTTTTAGTAAAGTAAATTTATGAATTAATATTCATAAAACTGTAGTGATGTTTCTCTCTGATTTATCTCTGAAATCCACCATTTCTGCATCTTTACATTTTATAATCATGTTTTAAATTATGTAACTTTGTATAGGGATTTGGGAGTTGTCTTTGACAATAAATTGACATTTACAGGTCATATAGGAAAAATCACAAGATCTATTGCAATTTGCTGGGGAATTTTATAATGGTTTTGTAAACCTATATCCTCCAAAAACTGTATTAAGATTGATTTTTTTTTCTTTACAAATTTTCAGTCTTTAATAGATTACTGCTTATCAATCTGGGAAATGTCAGCCCCTTCCTTATTAAACAAAGTTATTAAGGAAATACACAAAGTATATTTCCTCTTAAACAAATTTTGCCATCTTCTGTATACTAGTAATGCTCATGTCACAAGAGTCAGACTGGGACTACCTAATTCAAAGAAAGAGTTAAGTATTTCAACTGAACCTTAATCCATAAATATTTTAATAGCATAATATAAAATTACTGGCTCAGGTTGAAAGTTTCTTCCAGAATAACTAGATTACACTCGTGTCTACGTACCACTTTTTATCGATTAGCATTAAGTCATAGATCCTTTTATTATTACTCCATTAATTATATGATGCCTATTGAACATCAACTTCATCAAGATTTTACAAAATATAAAACATTTATGTCAACACTTTTTACATAAAAAGAAATAAACAAAATGATAAGAAAATTTTTAAAAATATTTTACTTTGTTAATTTTATTTGTTATTTTTAATTGTATTTTTGTGTAAATTGTGTTATTTGGAGGGTGGAAATCTTTTGTCTCTTGACAGTTCCAATTATATGTAAAATAAATAAATACATTTTAACAATAAAAAATTTTTTCTAATTTTAGGTATATTACATCATTGGAACAGATTATCTGCAATGCTCATAGATTGAAACATATGTCTTTGGGATGTATTGAAGAATTGTTAAATCATTCTGATTTGTTTTTGACACTTTTAAGCCAACATCAATTTAAATCATTACAATCTCTACATTTAGCAAGCATCAAAGAAGACCCAGAACATTATGCATTATTGGATTTACCCATTAATACATTTGAAGTGTTTGGCAATTTACAGTATTTAAGTATAGATTATGATTATGTTTCAGATTGTCTGTTATATAATTTATCTAAATCCCGTAACAAATCTCTGCGTCATTTAAACATTCATGTTCATGGAATTGATACTGAACATCCAGGAACAACAGATAATGCATGGAAGCAGTTAAAGAATCTCAGTCCACAGTTAGAAGTTACAATGACTCTGTTACATTCACATGATCCATCAACAGTATTACAAGACATCTTTCATCCTAGTATGCCCCTAGCACATTTTCGAGCATTTTTCAGTTCAGGACTAGATGCTGAATTGTTAGATGATGTGGCTATTTTAAATTGTAATACACTAAAATCCATAAGTCTAGTAGAAAGTCTAGGGGAAGATAGTATTCCTATAGGACCGTTTCGACCAGAAGCCGAAGATCCACTTGTCATGTTGGCTTGGCGTTGTCAAAATTTAACACATCTGAGTGTTGTAGGTATGTTAATTTACAACATTCTGATTTTATTCTAAATATGCTGATGTGCAGCATTAATTTAATTCATATAATTTGAGATGAAAATCATGTTTAATTGCTATCAGTCTCAAAACTATTTTTTTAAAATCATATATTAGTATTAATGATTTTTAATCATTAACTTTTCTGTCATGTATTCATAATATTGTAAATGAAAATGAATGAATGAATGAATTATTTTCTAACATTTATGATGCATATGATTTTAATGATTTAAAATATGTAAAGCTACATTCTGAAATGCATTATAGAATTAATTAATATTCCTAACGAACAAATAGGAAATCATGTAATAAAACATAAGTTCATAATTTAATCATAAATTTTTTAATTAAGGGATAAATATTTATCCAAATCTGTTTTATTTTGTTTCTCAGGATATTGTATTTGTGATGTTGACCTTATTGGAATTGCTCGTCTTCGTGGACCACAGTTAAAGGAGTTAAATATTCCAGCCTGTTGTATTGCAGTTTATGATATGGAAAACAATAACACTGAATATTTACACAACACTTCAGAGAGAGTTTGCACATGGTTGTTGAATGAGATGGCATGCAGCCTGGGAAGACAATGGACCCCTATGTCAGCAGAAGAAATTCCTCCACCTGTAGCCAACTATACAATGGATGCAGATGGAACCTACCTTAATCAGCTTCTTCGAGATCAGTGTGGTCCAGATTTTAACAACTAAATTACCTAAAAACTTTTTTGTGTATTGTCCTTTATTTTCATCATGATATGTAGTTGTAATTTCCCTTTTAAACTGGACGTGGGCCATCATTTGGAGCCATTGTTATCAGTGTATATATGTTGTATATGATGTATGTGAGAGTGTTGCATTGTTACCAACTAGTCGTCATCTCTCAGGGCAATGCAGGCAGGCTGTAAGAAAAATCTTTAAGCAATTATTTTAGTTAAATATCCATACACTTTGTGTTTTAATAAACATTGTGTATTTGATATTTAAGATCTGCCAAAGTGAGTACATACATAAAAAAAACGTAGCCTGCATTTTTGTACAGGTTTAGTATGCATGCTTTGACATCGTGTACAAAGAGTTCCATCCTGTTTGGAGGAGGGGATATTAAGATTTTTTACAGGACATTCCATGGGTATCTTATATCTTGTCTGTTATAGTGCATTGATACCTGCACATTTTAATATTGTTATCTTTGCTCAGGGAGTACTGGGCCTCTACTGATGAACTATTTTTAGACACCCTCAATTTGGTGGTCTTTTGAGGGCCAGAATGTTAATTCTCCTCTTTCTCCTCCTCCCATTTTCCATGCAGGGAGTGAGCACACTAAGAATAACATTAATGGTGCTGATTATATATTTCAAAATACATCCCTGTACATCGCACATTCAGATCATGTTGTCCTGCTGCTTGTAAAACTGGAGGCTACAAGAGTGAGATGTTAGCCTATAATAAGATCTATATAAATATATTATATATATATTATATAAAATATATATAAATATACACATGTATACATATAGTATTTTCAGCACAATTTTCTTGCCCTGATTGTTGATTGTGATATTTTGACTTAGAAATGTATTTGCATTATGTATATTAGCAGCTTGTTTTTGCAGTGTTGGCCTCTGGAAGATCTGTATAATTTTTAAGAGGTTAAAAAGAGGTCAGTGCAGGTGCCAGTTACACTTTTGTCAGCTTGAATTATATTATCAGGAAAACATGCTCAGAACTAAGATTATAAAATCCAAAAATAAACATTCATTATGGCATGTCCATTATGGTAGTTTTTAAATCATCCATACCAGTTTAGTGGGAATGCATAGCTCATAATATCTGTGATAGCTGAGTGCATGTTACAGGCTGACAAAAAGCACAAAAAATGTAGACCTCTTGTGAAAGTCATTTGCTATTTTGTTATATTTTGAGAATATTTTTTTTTAGGTTAACTTTATACATCCTGATAAAACTAAAGACACAACAGATTTACAACTGTGTCATCTTAATTCTAAAGCTGAAAATGCAGTGGCTCCTACTGCAGATTTCAGGGATATTACTGCTGCTATGCAGCATGATGTTTGTATAGGTATGTTCTTATGGATATTTCATTGCCTAGATGTGTATTCCAATTATCCACTTCATTTGTTGATAGTATTATACAAAGGAGGAAAAATTTCTAGTGAGGTGGATAGAAGTTATTATAATTTTTTAATTAATCAAAAAGATTTTAATAACAGATTAATCTTGACATAACTTGCCTTTGGTGCTGTTAAACAATTTCAAAGGCCACTTCAAAATGAAAACAAACAATACAATTACAAATAATAAAAACTGGAAGAAATATATATATATTCAGTCATTCCAGTTGTGTTGTGCCAACAAAAAAAAACACACACACACACACACATTATTAATAAAGCAAAATACAATTTTTGAGGTGTTTACTCATAACAAATATTCCTATATATATATATAAAAATATATATATAAATATACATAACTTTTTATTTCTCCTATGATGATAACTTTGTAAAAGCAACAACAAAATTCTCAAATGGCATCCCAGCAAGATTATTCTTGATGGATGATACTGATGCCATTATCTTATAAAAAAAATAATATTCAAAATGCATTAGATCCACTGGAACGTCTGTACATTCCATCCATTTGCAGATTGGGGTTGATCAAACACTTGTGTTTGGATCATTATGTAGATGCATATGTGACAGCATGTAATGTATCTAGTATGTTATCTGCTTGCAAAACAGTTCTTTTATTATTTGTTCCACATTAGTAAGGTCTTCCTGTGGCAGCATTGTTGAAGTAAATAATGAAATTCATTGTATTGGGATACAGGTAACCTTATTAACGTGTGATAAATGTGAATAATAATAATAATAAAGTCTGTCTATTGTGTTGCACATTTGTTCATCTATTATAGATTTAAAATTTAGCTATTACACGAATAAATATTTATATATAATAATACATAGATTTCTTTTTAAAAGTCAAAATAAGTACTGTTTTTCTAAATATCTTTTTTGTGAAATTTCTCTTTCATTATATCAGCTGTCTCCCCTATGTTGTTCAATATTAAAATTTAGGTAGCATTATATATATGTATATAGGTATATGTATATTGTATAAACATATATCTATATACAAAATATTAAAATATAAAAAGTGATTACTAGTTAAGTTCCATGCTGAAACAGATTTATTTTGAATTATGTTCATTTTTTGTAAAGAACAAATATTTATTCATTCCATTATAAGCTTTTGTTTAAATTTTTCTAAAATATATATATTTTATAATAATCTCATTATGTAAAAATTTTATGTGAATGACAGTTTATCTGAAAAAGAATAAAGGAGTAAATTAAAAATAAATTTAAAAACTTAAGTGTCAAATTCATATGTAATTTAAAATAGACTATTTACATTAAATTTATATTTATTATTTAAATGGCTGGAATGTTGCATTTAAGATGTAAAATTTCGTGTCTGATAAATTTAGTGGAAAATCTGATCAACTATTTTATTTTATATAAAAACTGGCCATTTCAAAAAGTCATTGCTGGACTTCATTGTTAGATTTAAAATAGCTTATTGAAAATATATAAAAATGTGTGATCCTAAACACTATCTCATCAGTTGAATTTCATTTTGTCTGGTGAGTGTTCACTTCTAAGCAAAAAGTAATTTTTCTTTATATGAATAAAGAACCATCATCTGATGAATTATTCATTTTACATTTGAGTAATTAATTTGAGATTAAAAATTGTTTTAGATTTATATTTGAATATAAATTTATAGTGAATGCAAATAAATTATTATTTAATAGAAGACTCCTCATATAGTATTTTTATTTTAATATGAAAATTTTCTAATATTGTATTACATTATACAAATGCTTGAATAACAAAAGTTAGTTTTAATTGGAATTGTTTTTGATTGTTTAGCAAATGTGTGTGTGAATATTACAAATATCATTCACTAATGATTTATATTCAGTATGAATCATACTTATGAAAAATGTTTTTTTTGTAGTATCAGAATATTGAATTATATAATTAAAAATATAAACTTAGTAAACCAATTTCAGTTCTAATGTAATAATAATCACAATCACAATTTTTATTGTTTTAATATTATATCTGATAAAAAAAAAATAAATATTGTTTATTGCATTGTGGTATAATATTGTGAATAACTGTCTTTTAATTTAATTCAATGCTTTCTTTAATGCCTTTATTTAACATCAAAATTACATAATTTAACTAAATATTTGATATTATAAATTAGTATTTCTTTCAATTTCATAAAATTACTATGCTATACTATAATCAGTAATGATTATTTGTCAAAAGTAAAATATTGTATACATACCATTGATACTTTTTTTATTAAGTTATATTTCTGTGTATATTATGAAAGTTGTTTTATCATTATAAACATTAGTTTTTCAATTTTAAGGATATATTAATTTGATATTAGCTGCAAAAAGCAAAAATTAAAAATATTTTATATTTGTGAATTTAAGCCCATTCATATTTATTAGTTTTCTACTCAACATTGAAATTTTGTATAACAATTTTACCCCTAGTGAATATAAATCTTCATTTTAAATTTCATACAATAACAATAACAAAATTTACATTTATTAAAACAATTAAATTTTGTTTAACTGCAATAATATCACATTTTATATTTTAAGAATAATACAGTAGTTTATCATATTTAGGTCGTGTTATATTAGAGTGAACAATTGATAGGACGGTTGGAATTTTAATAGTGGCAAATTAGAAATTAGTGACCGATTGAAATAGTGTAGGTGAAATGTTAAAAGAGTAGATTTGCTATACAGTAGAGCGTCGTTTATCCGAATAAATTGGGGTACGGGTTGTTCGGATAACCGATTATGTACGAAAAAAACATTAACCTATCCCATCCTGAAAATTTTCTCCGTTGCGTGTCGCTTTGCGTTAAATTTTCGTCGATGTTAAGCCTAACGTAAACTTTTTAAAATAATTGTGGCTATTGTATCGTTAAAAATTTTTTTATTTTGTACAAACAAAATAAATATATTGAAAAATATAAAAACAATACTAAATTAACTTCTGAAGTATAAATTTTTTATCAAAAACGTAAAATATTTGAGTAGCCCAAGACATAGCCAAAGATTGCAGCGCCACAGCACTAGCGAAAATTTAATTTGCCAACTGGAATCCTTTCGGATAAACGACGCTCTACTGTATTAGTATTTTTTGTTATATGTTCAATTTTTATCAACTTCAAATGATTAATTTTGAAACTGAATCATAGAACATGACTGGAAAGTTGGCCTTGTTCATCTTGTTCGAAAAATATATTGAAAAATTTTATATAGCCTATTAAAATACCGCTAATGATGGAAGATGTCTTCGGGAAACATTTCAGTAGATAGTGATACCTTGATGAAGGTTTATCTTGGTGTTTTAAAAAATTTTACTTCTGTAAAATATTCTAAATCATGATTTTGTTGGGATACAGGATGTGTAGATCCCAACAGTGTGCGCTCTTTTTTATAGTTAATTTATTAACTATATTAAACACAAATTTCAGTTTTAACTTAAAAAAAAAAAAAAAACATTTAAGATAACCCGATTTTCGTGAGATTAAGCGTAAATTTTCTCATTTGGGATATTTGGCGGAATGTTTTGACTAAAATTAATAAATTCTAGGCTTGGTATTCTGATGCATAAATTCTTGTTAATTTTCTGTAGTTGATATGCACAATTAATTTTTTGTTGTACGGTAGACGACAAAAGTAAATCGCCACCTAGCCGATAGGCATGGTGATGTGGAGGCGTCACATATGATGTAATACATAACACATATTAGGCAAACAACACATGGGTGATCTATCTCACGGGAGGACTTTTATGGCAAATTGGCTGTTAGACCCGAAAAAGATTCACAAAGTTATTTATGATTTCGTGCTACGAATCAATGAAATGCCGCGATAATTTAAATCAGCGTAAATTTTGAGCTTTTTTTAGGCTTCGAGCAGACCGCGTTATATCGAATCGGCGTTAAGTGGGGTCTTGCTGTACAGTAATTTTAAAGTTTCAAATTTCGAATTTTAAATCTGATTTTGTATTATTATAATCCAAATAAAATCTTTTATAAGAAAAGATTTTCCGAAGAAAATTGGTCAACATTGTACGAGGCCTCCCAATTTTCCTGGGCCCCATGAAACTATAACGCGCCACTGTAAATGATAAAAAGGAGGAATCTATATATATTTACAAATGTTCTGAATTGCGTATAGAAAAAATCATTCTGTAAAATTTATGTAAAATAATTTCCTGTATATTATATATTGTAAAGGAGTAATTATACATTATAAGTAAAAGTACCCTTAAGTGGGCGAGTTAAAACCACTGAATACTGGTCGTGGGTTCGTGCTTCGCCAATGGGCTTGTTACATGGAGTTTATTAAAAAAAAAAATTACACAAGGCGATGCCCGTTAGGCAAAACAAGCCTTTCCCACAAACAATAGAATTAACCCCCAAAAACAACAAAATCCGAAAAATGACAACATTACAGATTACCCCATCGTTCCACAGTCACCAACTTTTTAAATACGTATATAATACGATTACTTTTGCGAACACAAACCAATCAGCAAAAGGTAACAAAAAAGTGCACTTTCTTTAAATCTGTTTCTTTGGTGCAATTTTGGAAAAAATATATCATCCTGGACTGGATGTCATAGGAAATATCGACTTCGCTTGGCAAGAATTAACTGATAAATGCACGAAGTGTGAAAGAAATTACGGCTGAAGGTATCTACGAGGAGACGAGGAGAGCCTATCGCTGTATCGTTAGGTTGATCAAACTCAACCTAATCAATACAGCAGGACTATGAGATATAGCCCAGTAGGGTATTGAGGAGTTACAGCAGGTTTCTGGTGAAGGCCTTACCAATGACGACCTTCAAGAATTGGCAGAACATGGAATTCATGTGGAACTGGAAAATAGAGATTCTAGAAACGAACCCAAAAAATTTCTCTACAGATTTCCTTAGTAAAAGTTTGGTAAGGTAATCGAAATCGTTGATCAAGTTGTAGCGAATGATCCAGAGTTTGAAAGGAGTGTAAAAGCAAAACGAGGAGTTTTGGATGCGATCTTCTACAGTCATTTGCTTAAGGAAAGAAAAAAGCGACAAATGAAACTTCACGACTTTTCTGAAATTATTCTTCTTTTGCAATAAAGTCAGGACCTTCAATACAAAAAATGAACTTTACATTTCTGTGTGCATATGTTTATGTGGTGTTTAATATATATTATTATTATACAAATTAATATAAAAATAACTTAAAATTAAAGTAAAATTTGCTTATTTTTAGTCGCGTGTTCCCCTATCCCTATTTACTCTTTTAAAATGACCTCGTTTAACGCTGTTTCGCTTAGCGCTTTGTTGTCTAGAAACGTTAAGCGGGGTTTTACTGTAATTCCAAAATCTCAGTATTAAATTCTCGCCATGATGAGATTTCCGAGTTGAAGAAAAATCTGATTTCAAAAAATTTACAAATTAATTTTTTTAGAAGTTCTTTTTCTAAAAAAATTTTTATCTAATTAAAAATAACCACCCGACTAACTGCGAAGTATCCCGTGATTATTTGTGACAATAAGTTGCCAGATTGGGAAGTTCCCCCAAAAAGAGATATTTCGAATCAACTGAGAAAAATGTCATAAGTATTACTGGGGAAATTCCATATTATGAAAAGGGAAAATTGGGTGGGTTTAAGTTCATGCAATGTGTCTAATTACGAAGCGATATGGGAGCGATAGTTTGTACATTTTAAAGTCCGTTATGTGCGTGCTAAGGCTTTTTTTTATAGCAATTCATAATGGATTCGGCCAAGGCCCACAATGGGAAAACAGGGGCCAAACATACCTGGATGGATCATCTCCGAAAATTCCTGGGATGATCCATCCGGATTCGATTCCAGATCACCAGAGCAGAGCGGTAACTATCCAGCCATCTGAAGTCTTCCACTCAATTCATCGTTCATCTTGAGTTGAAGCGTGTAGTTACTGATGCTACAGTAACTTCCGCTTGCGTGTATATAATTGTTTTATAAAAATGGAATTAACGGTAGTATTAGATCGCAGCACTTAATGCATTCACATGTCCATCAAATGAAATATTATTACTGGGCTGCAATTTAAAAAATTGTAGACCTACAAATTCCCACTGTCGTCTGTCTGTCCTTAACTCGAGAGCGGAGTTAAAGGAAAACAGACCAGATGTGGAATGCTCGCGGGCACGAAGCCCCGATTAATTATATGCGAACTCCGATGCAAAGCGGAAGTCACGTTATTTCAATTCAAAAATGTTTTCTTGAAAGGATTTAGATAGAATAGAGTCATGCCGGTCATCTGACAGGAAAAGTATGATGTACTGTACTGGGGCAAAACACTATAATTTGAAGTAGAGCATATATTTTAAATAAGTTAAAAATATAATTAAAAATTGCAGCCAGTCATAAATATTTGCTCGTAATATATATTCTTATTTGCTGCTCCCATTATATAGTAATATTTGATCAGTTATAGCCACTGAAAGATGAACGTAATCAAATTCAGCTATTAAAATATTTTGTAGTTCAAGTTGTTACAATGTCTATATTGTTAATAAAAATTTTATCAGTTTTATGAAGTCTTCTTCCATTACAAAACACAATCCCGTTTTCTGAAAATTAACACAATGATCATTTTTCAATATATAATAAAATCAGTTTATTCTGTAAAGATGACTTCGAGTCTGCTAGTAGTAATAAATCATCTGCATATAGAAGACAATGCAGCTCATCCGTGACATTTAGGTAAAAACTCGAAAGATCAGAACGATGAAATATCTCTGGATGATCATTTATAAACAAATTAAACAACAAAAGGCTTAGTGGTTTTCCGAAGTAAACCTCTAGTAGATACTGTTAATTCTACTTGCATAATATCTCCTTTTATTTGGTAAGTAGTCGTCGTCGTCTTATCCGTTTAGTCGTGTCCGATTCTCGGTCACTCTATGGATCAAAGCCA